AGGAAAGTTTGATTTGGGAGAGCTCTTAACTGAATTCAGAGAGGTTCCAGCTGAAGCAGCTGCTCTAGGATAGTCATTCATAACTTGCAAGTTTTAGTTAACTTGTGAATTTCAGGAACCTTGCTGTTTTAAGAAAGTTTGATTTGGGAGGGCTCTGAACTGAATTCAGAGAGGTTCCAGCTGAAGCAGAGTCTAAACCCAGTGCTGCTGGAGTGGCAGAGCTGCCTGGCCGAGCAAGTCCTTGCCCAAACCAAGCACCCAGGGAAGAGGAGGATGCTTGCTTTTCCCGGTCTCCCAGCCGCCGTCTCCTCTTCTGCCTTCCTACCCTTAGGCTTCTTGGAGCCCTCCTCCCTGTCCTCCTCTCCCACCCAGGGACCTGGAGCAGCCACATGCCACAGAACAGGTTTGAAAGCAGTTGGCAAATGTCACGCAGGTTGAATTACAGGAGGAGGAGAAGCATTTCTAGCGCATGTTATTCTCACGGGGTGGGGAATTAGAGCCTCCCAGGAAGAAATGTGGCATCTTTTACATGTTTATGTCCTTGGACAGTAAACCGGAGAAATGACCCTGGCAGTCAGGAAAGCCACTTTGTCTTCCCAGGTAGTCGTCTTTATTTGATATCCCCACAGGTGCTTTGTTCTGTATGTAATAGAATACAGTCTGGAGTCCTTTAGGCAGTCGCACTAAATGTTGCAGTACAGGTTAGGTTAAGTTTTAAAACCTCTGTAAAAGCTACAAATGATCCAAGTTTGAAACCAGTGAGCCAATGTGAAGTGTTTCATTGGTCTGCAGTCTGGAATGGCCAAATACTGGGGAAGGCTACACCGAAGGGGACCTCGAGTCTTAGCCAGGAACAAGGTTGAGTGAGCTGCTTATCAGATCACAGCAGCCCGTTAGCAAAAGGAGGGAAAGGTCTCCCAAGGAAGGTGGATAAAAATCACAATGTGTGTTAGTTTTACATATTTCACTTATATTTGCTCATTGTGAACATGCAAACCTTCTGTATTTTGCTTTTTTGATGTTTGTTCTATTTCCTGTTGAATTACTTCATGTCAAAGTCTACCGTTTGATTTTTTTTGTAGCCCTGAAACTCGGGGTGTTGTTTGTTATCCTGGTATAGTTCTTGGTAAAATAGAAGGCCTCGTAACTTTCTGACCTGCTGTATAACTTACAGCTGCAGTTGATTCAGAGATGCACAAGAAGGGGATAGAGTTCAGGTTTAGAAATCTGGTTTAAATACTTGATCAAAAAAAAAAAAAAACATTAATCCTATTTGTCCAACTAGAAAATAACCGCCTACAAATATAACATGCAGTCATTTAGGCTGCTCACTGACGTTTATGGAGATCGTTCTGCACAGTGGTGTTGGTGGTTGGGTCTGATTCAGTAAAACAAGCTAATAAAATTAGACTCAGCCCCAGACCAAAGCTTGTCTCCTGCAGACTCCGCATGCGAAGGCAGCTGATGCTCTCACAGGAACCGCGCTCCTCATCCCGACCTGCTCAGGCTTGGACCTAAAAATTCCCTCTGGCGTCGCCCCTGGGTCTGGTGCTGGTTAGTCATGGCCAGCACGCCCTGGAATGGGAGGAAAGGAAACCAGGCACCCTGGTTCAAAGGTATTTTGCTTGAAGCAAGCCATTTGCCTTTGTTTTCCTCTGGAATTTTTGAAGATGAGTAAAACATTGCAGGATAATCTACCTTGATTTGTAGTTTGGCTGCTGAAAACCCACCAAAAATTCCATAATCAACATCCATCTTGTCATTAGCACTATAGGAAAGCAAATATGCTTTCACAGTCAAGGAGCAAAGAGCAGATGAGCTCTTACTTTTGTGTTTGCGCAGTACTTGAACATTTCCAGGTTTATTGATGCATCAAAATCTTCCCAGTGAGCTGTAATGAGCAGATGAGAGTGAGGAATGTGTTGTGTCATGTCAGTGTGGCCGCGCAGAGCAAAGCTGGACTGAGTGAAACGATGTCTGTAGCAACTGGATGCTTACGCTTACAGGAATTAAGCCATTAAACCTCTTGAGAATGAAATATTATTTACCTCCTAGAGAGTTCCTCTGATTGAATGGGCTTTAGAAATTAGAAAAAGGAAGACGAGTCAAAAGAGAAAAAAAAAAACCACAATATGTTTTCTTTTAAGAACTGTTTTGCTATAGACTGTAAAATTAGAAACAGACTACGGTAGAGGCACTTACATATTTTCTATATATTTCTATAATAGTAAAATTGCCTTATGAAGTATGCGGTTATATCCTGCATATGAAATAGTGTGGGATGGGAGACCCAAAACATGGGATTTTTGAAGTTTGTGTGTGAATCTTGATGCATTTAAAAGCATTAATGGGTATTTTCTGATTGCAAAGAATGTTACCTTTACTCATGAAGGTGGTGGTGAAACATCAGCTGCATCTATATAAGAAACAGTGGAGTTTTCAAAGCCATTTTAAATGGAGAGCAGCTCACTTTGCTATGGGTGAAGCGTAACACGCTGAAGTAAACTGATCAGCAGAAAATAGTAATAATATTCATAGTAATTCCCTGGCTTGTCATTATCTAACCTTTTAGAGGCATGAGGTTGCTATCCTGGAGATATACGTATTACTCACAGGCACTCAGATTTAAGGTCCTTTGGGTCCAACAGCTGAACTTAAACCAGAATACCCTTTCATTATCTGCCCCTATAGAAGCGCTGCAGGCAAACATATTTCTTCCTGAGGATGCCTCAAACAGCACAAGCTTGTTATGCTGAACAGGCTGTCAGCTTTTGCTCGGGATTCATCGACTAATTCCCTGCATTTTCAATCGAATCTGATCATCCTCTCCTATCTGATTCACCGTATTTTTAGAAATTTGTTGATCGAGTAGCTGCTACCTGTGCCTGATTGCTTCTGAATGGACACCTGCTGACCTGCTGCGCTTCTCTGCAGAACCTACGCTCTGCTTTCTGAAATGCACTCATCTTTACAGAGCCTTTGGAATTAACATGCTGTGCAGCAGGCAAAATAGTCTTTTCATTCGTCCGGCTCCTCTCAGTGGACAAGTGTATGGACAGTAAGTACTGTCCCATCACCTGCTGGGGAGGAGTAGCCCTGACAGCTGGAATATTACCATGTCAAAACCCAGTTGGTAATATGGATGGAGAAAGGCAAGAACGTGGTGCTTTGATCTTCACTGTAATCAGGGCATGTGTACTGCCAGCAGCATAATTGTTTTTATTTAGCAAGCTCATCTGGAGAGTATTACAGGACTCAACACAAGGCAGCTACAAAATCCTTGTAATTTTATCAAGCACATTAGACTAATGATGGTAAGAGCTGAATTTCCAGCAGCAGATCCTGCCACAGGCACATATAAATACAACAGTCCATCTTTCCCTAAAATGATCCCACATTTGAAGTCTTTCCCAATATAGTCAGAACTCTTATCTCCGGATTACTCAACAACTATGCAACTTAATAGTTAGAGAATGATTCTGAATTATGAATGAATGCTTTGTTTAAAATCCAGTAGCATTTTTGGTTTTGTTTTTTTTTGTCTTTTACGTAGAAGCTTTTCTAGTGCACTTCTCTGCTTGGACTTCACCGGAGTGTGGAATGATTTTGTCTTTGCTGAAATCTGCATTGTAATCTTGATAGTGAACATTAACTTTAATCCTCACTAGGGAGACGGAATAATGGGGAAGTGTAGGTACAGTAATTAAACTGGAATAGAAAGCAAGAGGGAGATATCCTTCCTGCAAGTCCCTGGCCTCCAAGCAATGGTACTGGTGAGAAAAGGGATGGAGATGCCTGTCAAGAGCAGGGCAGTTCAGAGTCTTCAGCCATTGGAAGCATCTCTATCCCTGCTAGGGTTTGGGGTTTTTTTTTCCATTTAGCAGAGGATGTCCCGTTGAGATGGATGTCATCCCCAAATAGGTTTCCTTCATTCTTAAAGCCGTTTCTGCACTGTGGGTAGATGACTTACTGTACTCCTTAAAGACTTAGTGTGCTCAGTTATTTTAATCTACTATGAAAAGCATTTGTATAAATGTGAATTCATACTTTTCTCCCGAAGACCCACTGGCACTTAAAAGCTAGCACTTCTTATTTTAATAATACTGCTAATGCTAAGCATGAAAAAATCATGGGTCAAACCACATAAAATTATTAATAGCTTTAACATTGAACCAGGACAAGTGTACATACCATGCTTCATTTAATGTAATATCCTCGGTCACTGAGGTCTGTCCTTTGTCACCACAGTCATCTGTGTTTCATAATCTGGTGATGTCTTCAGTAAAATAGTCAGGCTGCTTTGTTTGTGACCTGAAACAGTGCAGTCGCAGTCATCTGCGTTTCATAATCTGGTGATGTCTTCAGTGAAATAGTCAGCTCCCTTTCCAAAGTAGTTGGTTTCTTCTGTTGCTTATGGCCTCCTCAGGGAACATGCTGCTTTGTTTGTGACCTGAAACAGTGCAGTATGAGAAATGTTAGTGATGATGATTTCTATTTAGGTATTCATACTTCTAGTCTTGTGCCACACTGCATCCTTGATCTTCCTGGCTCTGTTGTATATAGGCCTTTATTCCCTTCACTAGGGTGTCTAATCTTGCTGGAGGAGGGCCTGTTGTATATAGGTCTTCACTAGGGTGTCTAATCTTGCTGGAGGAGGGGCTGGGACCCTCTTCTCACCACTGCAGAGTGGTGATGCTCCTCCTGTTCCCCAGGGAAGTGGGATAATGGGAAGCAAAGCTGCTGTTTGCACAAGGTAAGGGAGAGGATGCAGAAGGGATGCCAAAGGGAGAGGTCCCACAGGGACCTGCCAGGGGAAGAAACAGGAGAGGGGAGGGATCTCCGTTCCCATGCTCAGCCTCCCCCAGACCTCACTGACACCACGTCCAAGCGTCACACCAGGGCTGGAGATGCCTTCGCTGAGACATCACAGACGTGTGGCACGGGGATGCTGTCCTCTGGCCGTGGCCCCAGCGTTAACCATGTCGCTTTGTTTCCTCTAGATACACTTTATCCTGCTCTTCAGTCGGCAGGGGAAATTAAGGCTTCAGAAATGGTATACGACGCTACCTGATAAAGAGAAGAAAAAGATCATTCGAGAAATTGTTCAGATTATTTTGTCTCGCAATCAAAAAACAAGTAGTTTTGTCGACTGGAAAGACCTCAAGCTTGTTTACAAAAGGTGTGAGTAATTTTATGAGAACATGGAATTACTATTCATATAAATAACACGTGCTAGAAGAGGAAAAATAAAGGCTCACTAAGAAAAACACCAAACAAACCCTCCGTGCTAGACTAAGCTGGTAGGAGCCTGCCATCAGCAATCTAACAGCACGGCGTCCCTGGACAAACCAGCAGGGTAAATTGCGGGGTGAAAAATACTTGTACAATCTGTCAAATGAGAAAAATGGCAGTAAACTAATAAGTATTAGTGGTTGAAATTCTGTTAGAAGGCTTTAGGCTTCACTGCTCCTTCTAATTCCCCAGGGTACCCTGCTGGGACGTGTGCTGGGCTTTATCAGGCTCTTCAGGAGGCTGCAGAAGCTGTTCTGAGGCATTTCCAACATTTTGTCAAATTTTGTCTTTGAAATATTTTTGCTCTGGAAGGTGTTTATTCCCATTTCCTTTTCCAAACAAATCACTGGTCCCTAGTTACATGATGCTTAGCATTAACTGCCTTTTAATTCTTGTAAAGTTGGAGCAAACAAAAAGTAGCCTTTAGGTATAGCACAGTGTATAAATTAAAAAATGGATTTCCTTGCTGTGAAGTGATGGGTGTAAACATCTGACCAGATGCTGTGACAAGTCGGGGCTCTGGCTACAGCACCAGGGAGTTGAGGTAGATTGTTAACTCCCATCTTGGGTTGATTTAAACATAAAGTTTTGCTGCAAGTGAGTTACAAAGATTATTTGGCCCCAGCAGTTCCATGCTTGCTGTCAGTCATTTGGCAGCCAGCAGGCTTGCTGAGATGCAACTCCTTCCGCCTTTATTTTTGCCTTTATTTTTATTTTTTTAGTCAAGAGCAGTAACTCATTCTGCAGCTTAATTAACCCCACTTACTGTTGTGCTGTTGCAGCAGGTGAGGGAGAGCCTTAAAGTACTACTGATTTACTGTTCATCTTACCAGTGTTGGAGGTACCCCACTTTGCTAAGAGTGCAGTTTGTTTTTCTAACTAAATTACTAATTTGTTTAAATTATGTGATCTTTGTAAGTGTTCTCTGGGACACTGAGAATGAAAGAAAATTATTATTTTAGAGACAAGACAGACGTTAACTACCGTTTGCATAACTTCTAAGAGACGCGCGGAGCACTGAGGATCCAGCTGTTCACTCTCACATTTTTGCCTTTGTTTCCCTTAGGTATGCCAGCCTGTACTTCTGCTGTGCAATAGAAGACCAGGATAACGAGCTCCTGACACTAGAGGTCGTTCATCGATATGTGGAGCTTCTGGACAGATACTTTGGAAACGTAGGTTTTACTTTCTCCCATGAACTGTGCTCCTGGCTGGCTGATAAACAAACAGTGTGTTATCTGTAGCTGTTTTGCTTCACATTTCTCTCCGCACTACTTGCCTCATAGATCCCCTTCATCCAGAGTGAAATTAATTATTAGAGTATTTTATGAAATAGTACTGAAACTATCTTAAGATTATTTTTTTCCATCCATTTCTCCCCCCAAAATTAATCTTGATGCTTTGATATGCAGAGCGGATTTCAAGGGGAAAGCTTGAGGAAAAATACATAATACCCTCCACCCTGGGTGACAGTTCTTTAATTCTCCCTCCATCCTCAGGTGTACTGGTTTTGTTTGTTTCATAATATTGTGTGAGAATTAAGGACATATACAGAAGAAAAAGGTAAAGTGGTTTGTTGTTTTGGTTTGGTATTTTTTTTAATAAAATACCTGAAGAAGGTCCAAATAAGTCTTTCAGTAAGTCTTTAACGACTTCAAGAGACCCACCTTCTCTATGACTACTTTCGAAATTGTCCCCACTACCTTAATTCATCTCTTAAATCACTGTGCTGTGACTCACATTTGAACCGCCTCAAAACAAAGAAGCAGTTGGTGACTGCAAGGTCACTAGGACAGGGAATATGTCTGTGCGTGAACATATGTAACCCATATTACCAGTGCTGTATAAGCCCTGTTACAAGGTTAGTAGGCTAGGAAGTCAGCTTTGTTCTCTGAAAACCAGTATGGAAGTACAGTATCATATAAAATACAGTAAGTAGAATATCTTTGCTGTAAGTCTAGGCTATATATGTGGAGAGAATATGTGCAATATATACTACATACATAGTATGTAGTATCTTTCTTCACCCTGCCACAGGGGTGCATGTGTTGAATACGTTTGATATCTTTAACTTTCGGCCCAGTAGTGCTTATAATGCTCTAGAAGACATTTAAAAGTTGCATGTCCTTTTGTTCTGGCAGGTCTGTGAGCTGGACATTATCTTCAACTTTGAAAAAGCTTATTTTATTCTCGATGAGTTTATAATTGGTGGAGAAGTACAAGAAACTTCAAAGAGGTCTGCAGTGAAAGCCATAGAAGACTCTGACATGTTGCAGGAGGTAAGGCAGAAGAAGACAAAAGCAAACACCTCGTCTTCCTACATCTTTCTTGTTTGACATGAGCTTAAAATACAGCTAAGCGGTTCTGGTACTTAATTATCCAAACGTGTCTTAACTTCAGTTTTGATAGGTACAACAATGCACTTAAGGGAGCAGTTACATGAGGTTTCAATTCAACCCTCTTGCATCTTGTGGAATCGTCTGGAGGCTCCTTCTATACTGCTATTGCTCTCCTGCAGTTTAACTGCTAGAGTTTCGCAGATATTATATTAATAAATAGTGTAACAGGTCTAAGATATTTATATAAGAACGTCATTTAAGGATTGTATGTCATGTATATAGATACAAATACGGAAAAATCTGTTGTGTTTCACCAATACATTGGAAACAGTTGAGCTACTGTTAACAGTTAAAATTGGGAGGAGGAGCGTGTGCTGGCAAACTCCACTTCCATTCATGAACACCTGTGTAGTTTTTCTGCAGGGCACAGATATGTAACCTTTATTCAGAACCCTGCAGGAATTCTCTTCTGTAACTTGTACTGTTGAGCCAGGAATGGCAAAAACAGTCAAATGTGATGGATCTACTTATTTTTTTCCGAGGTAGTGAAGGATCCATTCTAATCCTGAAGGGAACAGCACGCTGGTGGAACTAGCCAGGGGCAGGTCAAACAGTTTTTCTCAGTGACCTGGCATTTGCACATGAAACAGGGCCAGCTACGTGCAAAGGCCATCCTGATGTGATGAGTTCAGCCACAACCGTGGTACGTCAGGATTTGAAGATCAGATTCTAAAAGGCTGTTACGGGTTTTTTACAGCAGAATTATTTCTACTTTTTAATTATTCTGATCTAATTCCATGCAGAGAAGAGGGTTTGTTTGAATGTTACTGTACCACTCCATAACTGTTTCTTTTTTTGTTGTTGTTTTTTTCTTCAGACAGTGGAAGAGTACATGAACAAGCCTGCGTTTTAACTTTAAAACTACCTGGAGAGGAACTGCTCTATGCACCTGTAAAATGCACTTCCTGAAACTGCTTCCCAATGTGCCAGATCCTCAGAGAAATACCAAAAACCAATAACTACAGGGGTTTGTTTGTATAATGGTGAAGATGAAGGTCAGCTAATGTAGCACAGGGTTTAACAATTCTGTATTTGCATTACTCGGCAAATGAGTTTCTCAGAATTGTTATTACCCTTGATCTAGTTTCTCTTCTTGCTGGACTAAACACTTGTTTTTTATCATGCCTTTTAGCTACGGGTTTTGTCATCGTAAAATATTACTCTGACAGTACTTTGAAGAGGTATTTTTACTAGTTTTGGTCCACTGCTGACCGTATGACTCTACTTTTGTACAAATGTCCATTATTTTGAATGTAATGATTATTCTGCTCTAATAATAATTTTTTTTCTAAAAGCCAAACTGTTGTGGGCCCTGATTTCACAAGCTTCTTTTCAAAAGATTAGCTCATCTAGTTTAAAAAGAAACATGCCTCTCTTTGGATCAGCCCCTTTCTTTCCACTATCTTCCTCCTGTTTTCTGCTCTAGTCTGCTAAGAAGACTGCCCCAACCACCTCTGTTTAATCTGGAGGACCATGCTGACTCGAGGTAGGCTTATCCCAGGTTTAATGAGGAGTCCTCACTGCTGCATGCAGATGGCCTCTTTCTGTCTTCTTCCCCCCTTTCCTCTCCCCTTCCTAGATCGCCTGGACCTGGACAAAGACTCCAGCCTTTGGAAGTGTGCAGCTTGGCAGCAGGAGATATCCTGAAGAGAATAAATTAGTCTTTGGGATTTTAGGGTGAAGATAATCTCATCTGTCTTTTGACTCTGGATCCGCCAATAACCATTTTTCCCAGCAGAGTTTTCCTGTCCCCAATTCACACGCCTATTGGGATGATCAGCTTTCTAGTAGTTGAAAATATGACCCATTTTTGTGAAGGTTGGACAATTTAATCAACCTTTTGTAACTTTGCAAGCTGCACAAAGGGAAAAAGGGTAAAATGGTAGAGAGGAGAAGAATGAGCTGGGCTGTGTGTCTTGCTGTGTGTTATAGAACACTGTAGCTGTGGTGGGGAGCAGGGTGTGTTAACTTCTCTGTCTGTCAGTGCAATTTGGACTCTATAAACTGTTTGAACTGGCTTCCTTAGAGAGATTATTTCGTCCTTTAACAGAATTCGAAGCTCAGATAAATGTTATTTATCTTACCCCATAACTCATAGCTAGATGTTTTGTCTCTGTCAAATCATGAAATCATCCAATACAAAGATCAGGTAAGTTACCAGACAAATATGCCAGAATGATCCGAGCATTGATTCACGTTTCCTTTCAACATGTATATTCTTTGATTTCTGGGATGTACTGTCAGTATTTTCCTTCAGGGATTTTTCTAATCTTTAAATGTCCTCCATGCTTATTCCATTTTTTTCATTGCTCCTTCCTTCCCTGTCTATTTGTATCTTCAGGGGGAGGGATTTGGGGTTCGTTTTATCTTGGAGGGTGGGAGCACTTTGACACAACATGACAACTTTGCTAATTGTCAGCCCACTTTTCTGCCTGTGTTATCTAGTCTGTTAGTAAAACTGTGACAAGCTGGTTCATAGCGTCACGCTGCTCTTTTTATAATTACTTTATCCATCTGTTTTCTCTATTGATGTCAAAGGCATACTTTCAGCATTGAAAAAATAGTGAAATTGCTGAAGGGCTTTTAATAGCTCTGAAGACATGCAATTTAATAGTAAATTAATGAAATAGTATGAGTTGTATATTATTTTGTCATGGTTTGAAATGAAGTTTTTTAAAGTAGAGTGTTTAATTGATTAAGAAGCCACTTCAGAATGTGCAAAGAAGCTCTTTCCGCTCTTTACTTTTATAAGTGACTTCTATTCAGTGAAATCATTAGTAGTTTCATTTGCTTTTACTCTTTTTTGGAGCCATGCTGTGAGTCTCTGACTCTTATAGCTGTCATGTTCCTCGAATTCTGGAGTGTTTCAAAATAGGAGTTACAAAAAGATTTCGTGGTATGAATAAGGAATCATAAGCCTGTCTTTTCAGTCATTCTCAGAAGAGCTGTAGGACATCTTTCTCTCTCTTTTTAAATGAAGAAGAATTCTGTACAGACAAAAATAATACATTAGCTAGGGGTACTTAAGCCAGCCGTATCAATATAGCATCTGAAATAAATAGCATTGCCAAACTGATGTATCCAGTGTCAGCTTGAGAAGCCTGAAGAAATTATTATGGTTTCCTTGCCCTAGTGCAAAATGTCATTGGAATATGGTGTGCCTGTTGTGCCAACTGCCTCTGTGCTACGGAGTCGGATGGAAAGTATCTGCTAAGCACACTAGAGAACTGCTAAATTATATTTGTGTTCTAAGAAAGGTTTACAGATTCCTGTTGCTTTTGCCTATAGATGGGCTGCACAAAGTAGGCAGGTGAGAGTTACCTAATGTGACTCTTGCAAGTGTCAGTCTGTATGTATAGCATGCTTAAGAACAAATTGGTTTGAAACAGAAAACTTCTATTTATATTTTTTATAACCTTCAGTAAGAAAGGAGTCGCTCACCGAAGTGGTGTTATAATGGCATTCAGCTCAACCCAGCTCTTTGTCCAAAGGCAGAAAGCCCAAATGAAGTACAGTTACTGTCAGGTTACCTTTAGGTCACTGGGTCAAAATGCCTGTGCCTCCTCCTTTGTGGAACTCCTTTGCCATCAACAGGACATTTGTTAGTGCACTGTGGAGTATAGCTCATCAGAGGACTTCTGTTTCTCTTGATACCTAGTTCTTTGATTTTATTTAAAGCAGGAGATACATATACCTTTGCCCATTTCATTTGTGTTTGCTGTTGATGTTTCTCTTTCCAACCTGCCTGACTATTCTAGGAAATGCTCAACGTAAAGTTTTCTATGATTACTTTATGAAATTATTATCAAAAAAAGTATTAGTAAGCAGGTTCCTTAACATTCTTCCAAATCTCATTAATACCTTTTGTGGTTATCTAAACTCTCACCTTGCTGAGAAGCTTCAAGCACATATGTCCTAGTTTGCAAAATTGCATTTACTAAAATAACCATTAATCATGGTCATGTCGCTAGCCTAGATTCCTTTCCTTGCTTTTGCCAGCTGCAACTAGCAAAAAGCTTCTTGATTTTCTTGTTAGCATCTCTGCCTGGAGGATTCTCACTCTGATCTTACTGCTTACCAGTTGTGACAGGGCTGGTTCTCTGTCATGCAACTGTTTGCAACTCATGAGTTGTGACATCTTTGAACATATCATAGCAATTAAAAAGAGAGAAACAGACATTAGACTGGGATAAAAATAAGTGTAATAATGTCAAAAGGAATATTAAAAGTATGACAACTCATCATGAGTGAGAGGCAAGAGTGGCAGGATCTCACGGGGCTGATGAATTCTTACCATTTCTGCTTCTTTTTTCATTATTCATTTCTGAGTGTTGTGGCTCATTAAAAGGTGTCAACTCTTACAAATAGCTGTAGGAAAATTGGCATTCAGGTTACCTCCTATCAGCCTTTGTTTAACAGAAAGCTGCTGAAAGTGAATCTTCAACACCTCTCCCTGCCTGCTCCTACAAACCCCTCCTGTGCTTTCAGAAACCCAGGTGGGAAACTTACTGTGCAGTTTAGGGATGGTTCTGTGCCTGAATTTATGCTGGACAGACTAATGCTGTACTTATAAAAGGATGAATTACTATTTTTTCATTTATTTCACAGTGCTTCCAATAGCTAACACATTTTTTATCCTCTGCTTAGCGCTGTGCTGCGTTGGAGCGATACAGCGTGCAGTTACGGTGCATCAGGGGTCAGGAGGGATTGCTTTATAGGGAGAGATTAGAAGATTTAACAGTGTGAGTGGGGCTTTCAGAGGTACCCAGAGACGTTCAATCAACAGTCCCCTCAAAATAACAAGGCTCAATGCAGTTCACAAAGAGGGGGAGCTCCTGTCTGTGTCTGTTTGTGATGTTCTACTCCACTGAAGACGTGTTAGAAAGCACTTTTGTGAGCACAGCTCCGGTGCGAGGGAGGCGTTGAGCTCACCCTGCAGAAAATGACTAAACCCAAAGGTCTCAATTCTGCAGTTAATCCCTACAGTGGGATTTTCATTAACTTCATCTGACTCCTCCATGAGCACGGGGCCTGCATCATCACTTACATCATTTTATTTTTGGTTTAGACGCTTGCCAAGAACTTGTGAGCTCAGGCCAGGTAAAAGCATCCTTCTGGGGAATGTGACGACGTTCTTACTGACTTCAATAGAGCGTGTTCCTTAGCATGATCATGGCACAAATAAAATATAGCTGATGATTTACATGACTATTAGGATTTTTCAGGGAATTTTTTTCATGAAGATAGCTGGTCTAGGGTGAAGTATAGTAGCACAAGCTTAGCGTTTATAGCAGAAATAACAGGCTGTGCTGCAAGAGTCTTAATGTTTGCTGTCATGGAAACCTGTTGCCTTGGAACATGACTAATGAGACCCAGGCTAAGGGAAAGGAAGAAGCTATTCTTGAAATTATTGTTCAGCAAACCCGAAGGAAGACCAGCAATATATATTATCATAAATTAATTTAAAGTTCCATTGCCTAGTTCACTTAACCTTATCTGCTTATTTACTTATTCAACAGCACTTGTAACCAGATGTTTTAATCCAAAGAATGCTCTAAACCAGTTCAAAGCTAATCTCTTGGCCATCTAGAAACAAATAGCATCTTATTTGCATTCCTCTTTCCCAGTACACTACAATATTTGCCCAACTTTTGTGGAAAGGACACACTCAAAAAAAACTTCTGGCTGGTCAGGAATGCCCCATAAACAGTTCATAGTTTAGCTGAGGATTTTTGCCTTTGCTTGTAGCTGTTCATTTTAAAGACAGTCCAGGTATATGAGGTAGGGAGCATTTTGCTCTACATATCTGTATTGAAAAGTGCACTTACCCCTGTGTATCGGTGGGGTAAGTTTGCTGCTCTCTAATGCTGAAAGGAAACTGGGTGGGGGGAACATATAGAAGGTAGCCTAAAGTTCATTTTGCCCCTCTGTCATCTCCTTCTAAAATTCCTGCTGAAAATTCTCCTCTATTCTTGAACTTCTTGCTCCAAACCCAATATGTATCATTATACACCAGACTCTGCAGTGGAGAATAGAAACTTGGTAAGGTCTTCTGAGTGCTTTTTTTCCTGCAAAGGTGAATTTTGTGCATCTGTTGTAAAAAAACAATGCTGAATATAGAATCCCTGGTTACACAGGGTGACAAATTCATTACAGCTTGCTGCGGATCTCAGCTGCTCTCTGGACCGGGATCTTGCATGAATAAATTGCCAGCAGCTGTGTAAGTCTCCCTGCCTTGTGGAGACCACGGTTCAGGGTCCTTCTGGAAGCCAGCAGTGAGAAGTCAGCCTCAGCGGAGCA